TCTATCCACGTGCGATGAGACCAGCTGTAGCCTCTGCCGATGGGGGAACTCTTCCTTTAGAAGCTCAGCGGGTACTCTTCCCACCTCCTCTTGACTTGAGGCTGGCTTCCTCAGGATGGCGCCGTCACTGCTCTTCACGCTCTTCACCACCCTGATGTCTTGGGTAGCCCGATGCCGGGCTTTGGCCAGTCTGAAGACGAACTTCTCTGCGTTTCTGCTTCCAACTTCTCGTACAAGGCGTCCATCTCCGTGTTCTTCGCCTTGGCGACAGGCAGCCTTAGCGAGCCTCTTGCAACTTCTTGTAGATAGTGAGGCTCAGGACTTGGATATTCCTGCGCGTCATCAGATCAGCAACCTCTCGGGACTTCCCAGTTAGCGATCCTACGTTCAGAGTCCCTATTCGAACTAGCTTCTTTGGCCGAGGCCGTTCACTCCTCGGTAGCCCTCGCATACTGACCACAGAACTCGGGCGGGGGTTCTGCGCGCCACTTCCGGGTGACGTCCTAGCTTTATCACTGATTCTTTTGCGACTTCAGACATGTTGTGTGACTGGGGTATTCATCAGCCGGCCTGTCAACCTGGGCCTGACGCTGGTACTTGGACCATGGCATGGTTAATCTCGGCAGGGATCGAATCCGCGGCTCAGGTGCAGACATGAGCATACTCTCCTCCTGAAAACTCGGCTGTCCCAGCCTTACCACATTTACGTGTTTTTAGAAAAGCTGAGTACTCCCTTTTTTCAGGTGAAGTATAGTTTTGTATTCTTTGTACCCTTCTTTTCTTGTCCTTTTTTGCACCCTTACCGCGTAAGTAATAATTGAATATAAAATGTTGCTAATTAATTTAACACGTTGACATAACACGTTGACATCAGCATGGCGCGGATGAGCCTCAGGTTGTCGCGCGAATGGGCCTGGTTTTGTTAAATTTACTTGGTATTTATTTTGTTAGATGGTTGTTGTCTAAATCATTGGATCCAGAAAATATTATATTGTACCCATTGGCACCAACGAAATCATTGAAACAGTAGTGCTTTTTTGGAAAAATTTATGAAAAAGATGCCGAGGAGTACGTACGGCCGGCTGTCGTCGATGTGTTAATCATAATGCAAGCAAAAGTTCTGTCTTTGAAGAGTATTTTCGATCAAACACACACGTTGTAAATTGTTGTTGCCAGGTCTTCCAACCACGGCTTGGTATAGCTCTCACCAACAACCTAACAGTGTTGAATACCTTGAAAGATGTTCTTTTACAGAATGATCTGTTAACTTGGGTAGTCGCTATCACTGACTCACCAAAGCCACCTTCACAACGAGTCTCTCTTACTCTTCCTGTTCTCAATGCTGCCAAAAATGTTGCATTCATTGTCACCGGAGAAGAAAAGGCTTCAATGATCAAGGTCAGTTTTATTTTTGCCATATTCGCGTACTTCACTTAAAGGGTCAGGGCTTCTAGTTTGAATGATTGGTGTGGGTTTTGGAAAAACCAATTTTGTACTTGTGGTAGAAGGCTGAATTTTCACACCATATCTTCGAATTTCTGTAATGTATGACTTTTGGTACTGTGCGCGATGCAATTGGGAGTCATGAGGGTGAGGATTCTCGGAGGAGCAGGTGCTCGTACGTGCGTAGACCAATTTGAGTGATATGTGAGTAGGGTGAGCATGCTGATTTTTGTTATTACTTGCCCACCACAGAAAACGTGCTTACCCATCCCAGATTTCCCCCTTTTCTAAGGCTTTGCCTAGGTAAAAGAAAGGATTCCGAGGTGGGTAAGCATATCTGAAGTGAGCAGGTTATATCAAAAATCGGCGTACTCACTTGACTCGCCTAATACCCAAATTTCTTGTTCTCTAGTTCGAAAAGTATTTGTTCACTCACCCCGGAGCTACTACCCCCACCTTAATCCTCGTTCGTATTCCGACATGTTCCTCCTGCCTTTGGTGCTCTGCATCGGAACGACCTCAGATAAACACTGCTCATGCTTAGTTGAAGCGGATGAGGAGTATTCTAAGAGGTTATCTTCAGAGCGTTCTCGATTCTGATATTCAACATGTTCCTGCCTCCTTCGTGCGACCATTCAGCAAGAAGCTTCGCTTTTTCTTGGATAAGGATGCAGCAAGCAAATTGTAGGTTTTGCGTCTCTGATCACCGTTTATCCTCATTTTTGTCTTGTCTTCGAACTATGTTTTGTGCTTGAAGTAAATAGTATTGTTTCCGTGTTTAGTCATTATCTGCTTATCAGAGTCTGTTCATTTCAAATTTATTTTCAAATGCGAAATTCTCTTTTAATGTTAACGGCTTTTTCTTTACTATGTACTGGTAAAGTGCGAGATATTTGATCGCGTGTTTTTTTTTTAAATATTTATTCTTTTTTTGGTATGCATTTTGCACGGATCAGCATAAATATAAACTCGGTACCCTTAGTTTCCGTACATATTTTTGAGTGTTGCCAGAGTTTATCAGCCTCTACTGTTAGGAAAATGCTTGACTAGGAGTATTTGCAGTAGAAATCAATTCTCTTACAGTTCAGCCTACAAAACAGTTGAGGTTCGATTGTGTTATGACAGCACGTTGTTCTCTTTTGCTGCAAATGGTAATTGCTATGCTATTTCATTTTTGAAGAAATTTGAACTGTCAATTTTGTTCGGTCTTGTTTTTTCAAGTAACACTGCTTAAACATTGCAGTCTTCTCAGTTTAAGGTGTGTCACATGGTTGCAAATTTTGTTCAAGACCTAGTTGGTAATTAGGTACGAGTGAAGGAACTGATTGTAAGCGCAGCAATACACTCCGTTTCATGCAGCCAGAAATCCACGTGGCACACGTGGCTAAATTCTCGATGAAAAGGTGACGTCACGTGTGCTCAAAGATGTTCTTGATTCGATGCCACGTCAATGCCACGTCAATTTCTGCAATTGCACATTTTCTGGTTATTTGAAGGCGAGGGTATTGAGAAAAGAGTGGTTGAACCTTCTTGGGTTTGGGATGTCTACGGAAACTGTTTTCGAGCTGAATTTTGCCAGTTCAAGCACTTAGGTACTTAGACGACCTGCTGATACAGCACGGCGGTTGGCCTTGCGTGGGTCCCAACTTCTTCTCATTCCTCCTCATTCTGCTAGAGACCTGCGGCGAGTGGTTGGCTAGTTGGTGGGCGTGACGTATCGATGGCGCAGCGCAGCGGGGGTGCAAGATCTTGAGGGAATGTCCTTCGCTGCGAATTGCACGTCGATCCGCACTCTTATCCTAAAGTCTGCCTACTTCCCAATAGGTAATTTCACTCATCAACATTTCGTCGTAAGCGTGTCAGTCTTCTTTCAGAGACACGGGGCACTATTCGTTGTTGTGGAAATTCCAGAGCCCTTCCAACGTAATTAGGGCGGCCAAGTACTCTCCTTAGGGTACCACTGCAGGGTCGTCCGCCGCATCTGGTCGTCACTTTCACCTCCTCCTACTCAAATGCCCAGCAAATCGGTGTTTCGTTCGCTTCGTCGACGTGAACGAGAATATTTTTGACCTTCGCCATGGCTCTGACGCTGGAATTGTCGAAGATTGACGCCTCAGACCGACGTCATAGTCGGCGACGGACCAAGCGATGGAGCGATCGCGATCGCTCCATCGCTTGTCCGTCGCTTGCCAATCGCTCTCGGTCGAGCGATTGGCAAGCGATTGCGCAATGTGTGCACAAGCGACGGGCGATTGGCCCCGCCCCCAGTCAATGCGGTCGGCTGCGGTATCGATCGAGCAGAGCCATTGCCCGTCGCTTGTGCACTTTGCAAGCGATTGCGCAATCGCTTGCCAATCGCTCGACCAAGAGCGATTGGCAAGCGACGGACAAGCGATGGAGCGATCGCGATCGCTCCATCGCCTTCGGTCGCGTCGCCGATGCCACCGTCGCCGCACTATGACGATCGGTCTGACGCCCTCGAAGTTAGATCAAGTAAGTCGACGATTTTAGTTGTGTTGGCCGCTTCTCTACTGCTTTTGTTAAGGCTTTGGCGTCTTCCATTAGTTCCTGTAGTCTTTCGTGATGAATATTTTGAATTCTCACATTGTCGCTACACATTTAGTTCTTACAGAGTCGATCCATCCAGCCTAATGCTGCCTGACTACCTCTCCAATGGGACCGTTCTTCATGCTGGCGACTTCCGAGACACGAACTAATTAAATTCAATCAAATTTCCTTCTTAGGACGATGTCAGACTTTGCGAATCGCGCGATTCGCTCGGCGTCCGCGGTCGCGTTGTAGGTACCAGCCAATTGAGTGATTCACTGGCCGCGACGCGACCGCAGACGCTAGCAAATCGCGCGATTCGCAAAGTCTGTCAACTGTCATGAGAATGCACGAAGGAAATACTGTCAATCATATTTACGGGACACTGGCTACCTAGTAAACTATTACAACTGGGTTGTTCAGGCTCAAGTACAGTCGAAACATTCCTCAAATTCTTTTCAATGCAGTTGAATGCGATTCGCAGCAGGTCAGTCGGCAGCTTCCACGGGAATAGCCTCGTATACCCCGGAACGTAATTTTTCCTTTTACACCAAATGCTACCACCATCTCAACGATGAGCGCAGAGGAGCACACCGGGCTCTGACGGCAGCTTCTCGTTTCCGAACGAGGTCTTCTTTGAAGTCGGCTTTATTCCCAAGCCTCATGAGTTCGATCTTTGCAAGTATTTGCGGTTAAATTGCTCCGCGACACTGCCAAAAACATTTTATTCGTGTACGACTGATTACACAATATTTCTTTTGGTTGCTTCTTACAGAAATTGCATCCAGTCAATCATTCACCACTGAACATTCCATTGTAAACATTCTCAAATTAGGCACATAATACAGACAATTGTTCAAATACGTTTGTAGAACCGCTTGCCAACAACTCCGTTAGCTTCCATTTTCTGAAAAAAATGCATTCATTAGCCGTGAATTCTGAACAAGTTTTTTTCTACACTGCCTTTGACAGCAAATGTTAAGAAGCTCCTAATCCACAGAGACACGCAACCGGCCAGACTTCGCTTCTGTCTGCCTCGTTGAGGGAGTCACCTCTACCACACCCAAAGTCATCAAGTGGTAGCTTACAATACTCAAAGGCAGTGACACGATGACTAGAGTGCAGTGCGGTTTTATAATGAACTCAATTGTGCGCCATTTTGCGTGAACTAGATCAATTGAAGGCGCGGGTGCTAACTTAGTTGGGGGGACCACGCGGCGGCGCGGCGCTTTGCTCGCCTGGCGCTCTCTCGAGCGAGATAGTGTGAACTCGAACATTCCAGCTTTTCACGCATGTCAAGTGACTGCCCTCACCCCCCACCCCCTAGACTGCCTACAGTCCCCCTGGCTCACGGATTTCCCGAAGTACGCAAAGATGCCAGGCGAGCAAAGCGCCGCGCCGCCGCGTGGCCCCCCCAACTAAGTTAGCACCCAGCGCGCTGGTTTTATAGCACGGAACCGCTCGTAAGGTTCTCAGTTACCGTGCGTTCGATGAACTCATTCGAAACCGAACCCGCCTTTTCCACCTTCGTCCGAACCGACTGCCTTTAAGATCGGTGATTATCAACGCTTCTTACAGGTGGCCAACAATTCAAGTGACAACCATGATGACTCTGAAATGGGTGGGGAAACCACTGCTCCTGCCAGTTGGACACTGTTCACTGATAAGTAATAGACAAATTCAATCGAAGGCCATGCTTCTGTATAAGGGGTCAACCGTCCGTTGGACAAAGTCCAACGAAGGGTGGGGGGGGGGGGAGGGTCGTATTTCGCGAGCTAGCGTTAATGTTACAGTGAGGGAAGTGATAATACAGTTGGTTGGCGTGCTACGAGGGTGGTGAAGGGTTGGCCCTGAGGGGAGGGGCCGATCGAGGCTCTCTTGAAATTTTCGAAATCGGTCCAACGTGACGGTTGACCCTGCTTCTGTAAAGTGAGACGGAGTAACATACAGACTTGTCAAGACGATCTACTGAATGGAAAATATCAATATTTTCAGCACAGCTTGATGTACACGAATACAACTTTCTCAAAACCTATTCAAACTCGGATGATTGGTCATTGTTGGCCGTTTAGGCGGATAGGCAAGAACGATCGGGCTAACAGAAATGCATGCCTATCGATCTGATCACCTGGCTGAGATAAATGGCTGTTGCACAGCTTCCGCGAGTGTCATGTTGCTAACACATATGTCAGGCTAACAAAATGTATCAACAGCGATGGTTTTACTGCTCCGCGGAAAGAACAGCATTGAAAAATCACCGCATGACTTGGGATTTTAATAGGAATTCATCTGTAGAGTAATTAATCCCTACTTTTCTTCCAACGACTTATTCAAGTTTTTGGCGTGTTCGAACTGCTACTATAGGTGATAAGGTATTGGACACTGTCGCACAGTCGCACTGATATAAGTAGCATCGCTAACTCTGTGTACTTCTTTAGGGGTACTAAGGCTGAAGCCCTTAAAAAGGAAGAAAAAAAGCGGAGACGCCTTCTTTTCTCGGCTTGACTCCCAAACGTCGAGTAACAACAGCCTCGTGAGGCCGATGTCCGATGCGAATGAGCTAGTTCGCAGTGAAAGCGCTGGATCCAAGACGTTTGCGCCAGCGACCGAATCGAACGTTCTTTACCAGCGAATCTGAACTTTAGCGCCACGAAACGACCGAGTGCGACTCGACACAGGTCCATGAAAGGTGGCAGGACTGAAGTATTGGACGAAAGTCACTTCTTAAAGGAAACACTGTCTAGAAAATGCGGGATTTCCTTTGAACGTTGGGTTTCGTCACGTCCAAACAGTGTTGGGTCCGTGCTAACCGTGCTGAGCTCGACCACTTGAACCCCTACCAGAATCCATTCTGGGTCTCATCCAGTAAGGGGGGGGGCATAGCGATCTAGAGCATTTCAAACCATGGAAAGCACATTATTTTATTGTAGACGTTCAGGACTAAGCCCTAGAAGGGAAGGAGTCCCCGGATCCGTGAGCAATCTTGGCTTTCCCCGGGGGGACTTCCTCCCCCCTCCTGGGCTTAGTCCTGACCTGCTAACTAGGTGAATTTCACTTCTCGTAGACGTTAATGTCATCTAGTACAAGAATACATACATTACACAAAACACCTGAAGAAATAACATAGGAAAAAAGCTGATA